GTGGAACGAATGTGGAACGGAGCAAAACGTGCGGCAGGATAAATGTGGCACGGAGTGAATCCGGGCTGGTATGATTTATGTGGAGAGGTATAGGAATTCCAAGTGGAACAAAATCTGAAGCGGAACAAAATCAGGAGAGGAACACAACCTGGAGAGAGGAGAGTATAGGGGGGCAGGTGAGAATGGTGGAGGGAGAGGAAGTGAGAGTGGGGAGAGAGAAAGTGAGATTGGGGAGGGAGAGACGTGAGAGTGAGGAGGAAGAGACATGACAGTTGTGAGAAAAAGTGAGAGTTTGTGTTGAAGAGACGTGAGAGTGGGGAGGAGAGAGTGGGGAGGGAGCTAAAGTGAGAGTTGGTGTCTCTGTGCCCTCAGGGTGGGCCCGACTCTTGTCTCGCGCTCTGTAATCACCGCACAGGCACTCGCGTAACCAATTAGGGGATGACGAACAGCGCTCATTTCCCCCAAATTACGGGGCCCGGGGTCTAGCCCCACCCACCACGAGTGACCAGAATGACCCTGAGGGTGACCTCCACAACCCCAACAACACTGCCTCCACCACGCAACGGGAACGCATGTGCCTCACCAACATCACAACAAACACTGCAACTACCACCAACACCTCAATTACAGCTAACATTGCAACCTCCGTTAACACCACTGCAACCACGATGAACGCGGCAAACAATACCGAAATCAGTACTGACACTGCAAACCACCACCAACACCACTTAAATCACAACTAACACTGCAACCATCACAATCACCGCTGCAAGTACTACAAAGCGACCCTGTATAGCTTTTAAACACTGTTGGGGCAAGTGCTGTTAGCGAGCACCTATGAAGGCCAGAACGGCACACGAGGGGGTGTGGGCTTGCACCACGCCCGGCCGCCTTTGTCTCCCTAGTGGCGATGTTTTTTTTACACACCGCACCAGGTACTCATTTGAAGCTGAGTCGACCTCGGGGAGGCTGAGGACAAGGTCAGATAATCGTCACTGATGTTGGCCGTGAGCAGGAATCGAACTCGGGCCGCCGGATTCGTAGCGCAGCACGCTCACCGCTACACCACCGCTCCTCACTACCCACACACCCACCCAGCTCCGATAAACCGCACACCCGCGCTGGTTCAGTCGCCCCCCCCCCCCGTCACCCTGCACCCCCCGTAGCTCCCATCTCTACCTAACTGCCTGAGCATCCGCTAATTGAAATCGCCATGGCAACGTCCACGGCGAGACGAGTGGGGTCGTGGGGTTAGGCTGAGAGGAGTGAGGAGAGGGGATCAAGCGGCTAGGGGGCGTGGGAGGTAGGGGGGGATCAGGGAAACCCACACCTCAAGGGGGAAGTAGGGTGGGGGCACGATCAGAGATAAGGGAACAGGGGGAGCAGGGGGATCAAGGAGTGGGGGAGCCGACACCGGAATAACGGAGGAGCGACGCAAGGGGGGGGGGGGCGAGAGAGGTCTCAGATGAAGAGATCAGAAACATTCACGTGTCGAGGGAGAGATCTGACATCGGGTTTATTTTTTTTTAAGTGAAAACAAATTTTAATCACACCTCAGCGCGAGCTCGATGCACGGCACCGGTTGCCAAACTAAGAGGGTGTTTGGGGGGAGGGAGAAAACACAAATTCCGTGAACAGCAGCCCTGAGTTCGACGCGACAGGGCCCAGCGAGGAGGGGAAAAACTGGGTTCAGTCCCGGAGGCAGGTGGGGACATTAAGGCTTAGATGGGGAGGCACCACGGTGGCTAGGAGATGTTAACTACCTCGCCTGGTATACAGGAGGTCGTGGGTTCGATCCCGACACCTGCTGTATTTTTGGAGTTTGCGTCTCCCTCTCTCTCTCCCTGTGGTCGTGGATTTTTCTCCGGGTCATCCGGTTTTTTCCCTTCACATTTAGAATCGACATGCGGTATTTGGCTGCTATAAATGTCCACGTTATAAGCCACTTCATTGAGCTATCATTTGTGATAGCTTTTTTTTCAGAAGTGACCTATATAGCTCAAGTGAGGCCTTACCTTTGTAAAAAATATAGTTTAGTTTTAAAGTTCAGGGTTCGTAGCGCAGCGCGCCACCCACTACACTACCGCTCCACACATCCACTCACCCTCTCACCCACACTCCTCATCCACTCTCACCCTTTCTCCAACACACCACTCGCGTGTAAGGAGTGAGAATGACTCAAGGTCACACGTTAACAAACATACTGGAGGAAAGAAAGGCACCCGGGGAGGGAAGGGAAGGGGGGGGGACCGGGGGGGGGGGGTGATTCATTTCAACACTGTTGCTGCCCCCCAAAAGCCAGCAACAACCAGCACCATAAAACTTGCAAAAGATAAAGAGCACGAGGTCATTGTTATTAAGAGCTCGGGGAACAAGAGAGAACGATGATAGGAGGGAATTCCCAAGCGGAGCAGCGTGGAGGGAAGAGGGCCAAAAGAGAAGTGCAGTGTGGTCAGTGAGTGTGTGGGTTGAGTGCATTGAGTGGGTGAGGGAGTGTGGCCTGCAGTATGGCGAGTGGGTGTGCAAGTAGGTGGCTCACTAACAGCACTTGCCCCCAAACAGGCTGTAAGGACTATACGGGGGATATTTGTCTTTGTCGGCGAATGAGTGGGTTGAGTGAGAGGCGTTGTGTGTGACCAGGCAATGTGAGCGGATGGGAGGATGAGCAAGTGGGTGAGTATGCGAGTGTGTGTGACCTACAGCATGGTGGTGGTTTCACACACACTGTGGGCGAGCCAATTTTCAATTAGGCGTGATATTTTGGATGAGTTTTAGAATGAGATATGGGATACATATTAATTATGCATTGCTGTTAAGAATTATGGGCACTATAAAAGCCAAAGTGATTTCCTGCTCAAATAAGTAGTGAGTATTGCGCATTTCATATTAACAAGACTGCAGACGCCGGTGGGGAAAATTCCACGTTCCCATGACGGGCGCGACTTTACCTACATGACAATCCCCTGTTGACTTCCCCGCAAAGTGGTACATAATTTATCGACCCCAGAGGCATGATGGTAGGACCGAGTCACCCCCACCCACCGCCCCACCACGCCAACCAGGGTTTGAAACCTCAAACTTCCGCTTGCTTGCGAGCAGCCCCGCTCTAAAGTTAAGCCGCACGGCCAGTTCTGTCAAGCGTCTCTGTGCAGCATCTACATCTCTAAATAAATACGAAACTTAAAATACGTTTTAGTCCATCCGCCTATTGGCTTTCCAGGCCGACATTACCCATAAGCTTGCGGCAGCATTCAATTAACTCTGGATCGGTTTGTGTCTTTCTGGGGGCTAGGCTTGTGAACATGGGATGTGGGAAGATGTGGATCGGGGATGTGGCATTAGATATTGGTCAAGTTATTTCACGTATCGAGTCGTTCATGCAAATTGCAACGCAAAACCGTTGACCATTGCGACACCACGTTAACACACGACTAGAACATGAGGGCAAGGGTACGCACAACAAAACGTCAACTAGAGAGAACACCAGAGACACAACAAGACCAGGGCACGCAGAACACCACAACACGAACTTGAGAGAACATTACAGAGACATAACGAGACCAAGGGTACGCACAACAACACGACGTGAACTGGAAAGAACACCGGAGAGAACACCACAGAGACACAACAGGCCAACACTTTTTCGCAGGCAACGTTACGTGCGTGCGAGACTGTGACGCCTTATTTTGGGAAGCTGGCTTGGGGGTGAAGCGGCAACACTGAGCACAACTTCCTGGATGCTCGCAACTTCCCGCGTCTCGTCCCGACGGCACTTGGCGCAGTTTCAAACGAAGCGCCGCGTACCCAAGAGCTGCGAACGCCGTATACCAGGATTGTTCAACTCCGGCGGTGCGAGCGAGCCGAAACGACAATTGATAATGATCATGTTAAACGGCGCGCTGTCAAAGGCTCGTGCCACCAATTTCAAATAGTTTGGGCCGTGTCGGGTGGTGGAGGGTTCTTAAGGACACGAGATTATTCGGGACAGATCGCGTACAGATTGTTACGTTGGCGAGCCTAAATCTAAGCATCTATTGTGAATTATATACGATGATGAACTAAGGTGGGAGCCAGTAAACACAAACTCCATGGGGGGGGGGGGGGGGGGGGGGCATCATAAGAGAGTCCAGGGGAATGACCACAAAGATGACCGAAGACACCGGTCGGGACATCTGCAATGATGAGAAAGGCCGGTCCCCGGCAAGCACGCGTGCCAGAATCTCGGTCCAAATTTGCGGAATGTTTTTAGTTTTTATTACCTGCAGGCGAACCTGTTTTGGAAAAACACACAGCAGCATAGCGCCGCCGCTTCAACTGAAACTTCTGCAGACCGTGCACACAGCCTGCCAATCACAGCGCCTTCACACGAGATAACCTTTGCGCTACGAGAACAGCGTGAAAACCGAATGTAGTCATGTTTAGTTTTGTTTTTTAAACGCATTTGGGGTGCGGGGATGAGGAATGTGTGGGATCGAGGATAGGGGATGAGACATATATGAGTGCGGATGAGGAACATACACGATAGGGTATAAGGAATGTGGGACTGAGAATAGGGGTATGAGGAATATGTGGGATTGGGGATGAGGAATATGCAAAATCGGGGATGAGACATATATATGATTGGGGATGAGGAATATGTGCGATAGGGTGAGGAATGTGTGGGATTGGGTATAGGCGATGAGAAATATATGGGATTGGGAATAGGGGTATGAGGAATATGTGGGATAGGGGATGAGGAATGTGAGGTTAAGGTATATTGCATAGGGAATGAGGGATGTGGGATCGGGGATATGGGATAAGGAAAGTGGGATCGGGGGGTACAGGGCATGAGGGTTTTGGTACCTGGACAGGGGGGGGGGTCATGGTAGGGGTGGATCAATCATGGAAATAGGGTATGAAGGGGGACATGAGATTTCGTTAGATGGACGTGGCATTAGATCATGGCGAGAGGTATGTGGGATAAGGGGGTTGTGGAAAGGGGATTAAGGAGGACCCCTCACCTTTGAGCACCAGCTGGCCGGGCCGCAGGGTGTGGGTGCCCGGACGGAGGTTTGTGCGCCGGGAGAACCCGGGCACACATGCGCCCTCTTCATCCTCATCCTGCAACACGCAAAGAGACAAAGATGCCCCCCCCCGTATAGCCTTTTTAATGGACCGTTGAGGGCAAATTCTGTTCGCGAGCAGCAACCTGTCAACGCCGGCACGGCGCACGAGGGGATGGGTGGCCAACACCACGCCCGTTGGCCTTTGTCTCCCCGATGGTGATGTTTACACACCACAGCAGGTAATCATTGAAGGCCGAGGTAAAGTAAGGGAGGTCTAAGACCGATTCAAATATTAGCCATTGTTAATGTGGTCGTGAGAGAGAAATTAACTTTGGGTTTCTGGGTTCGTAGCACAAAGTGCTAACCACTACACTACCTCTCAAAACAAAAACCCGTTCCCGCATTTGCCTTAACAAACTGATGTGGCAAGTGCTGTTTGTGAGCATCTATGAAGGCAGGCAGGGCACACGAGGGGGTGGGTGGCGAGCACCACGCCCGGCCGCCTTTGTCTCCCCAGTGACGATGTTTACACGCCGCACAACGTGTACTCATTTGAGGCTGAGTCGACAGGGTTCGTAGCGCAGTGCGCCAACCACTCCACACACCACCGCCGCCTGTCACACAACCCATTAAGGACTTAACCCTTCAACAATGCAAACTTCAACCCTGACGATGAATCCATAAGAACGCTTTTTTTTGGGTTAGATCGCGTAAATATAAATGTTGTCGTTAATCCGCCACAACTGACACAGCCAATTAGTAAGTTCGTCACAAAAACAAAAGTTGCCGATTAGTTACTAGTTCAGCACACCGGTGCGTTGCAGAGTAAACCCACGCCATTTACAATTTGAGCGTGACGTTTTCCGCTGGCGATTAACAACCAGCTCCATCGGGCGATTTGTTAGAATTGTGAAAGAAGCCTTTCCCGTTTCGGTCTTCAATAGAGGAGCGAAGGTGACGATGAAGCTCGATAAACCGATCTTCGTCGGCAATCAAGAAGTTGCAAACAACAAACACATCACCATTGGAACCTCCTTTGCCAGTAGCAAAATATGATCATAGTTTTTTTACCCTTTAATCTGGCAACAAAACTGACACCATTTTTACAAGGAGTCATGTTTGCATTGACCACAATACCTGCGTTGGACCAGGGCCGTCCAACACCATGTGAGACTAGGCTCTAAGGAAAGCTGTCTCGGGTGTGGACCAATCAATTTCAAGGATAGTGCATACATTATCAGTTATGTTTTTTGTTTGCATTCCGACCGCAGGTATTGTGGTCAATGGAAACATGACTCCTTGTAAAAAAGGTGTAAGTTTTGTTGCCAGATAAAAGTGTAAAAAAACAATTAACAAACACATCCTTCTCCTGGCGAGAGACCTGATGACACAAAATACCCCCTGGGCTTCGATCTTCCGTCCCTGAAGCTTCCTGGGGCCCACACAAACCCCTGAATCGCATGAACTGCTGTAGAAACTATGGCAGTAGCAACTAACTATACTCTTTGTAAACAATTGTTTTTAGTTTTACCATGTAAGGCCCTCGAAGCTATATGGCTCTTTTTCAGAAGCGACCTGGCCCACAAATGATAGCTCAACGTAGAGGCTTAACACCACGTGGAAAATCATAGCAGCCAAATACTCTAAACGCTTGTATCTAGATGTAGAGGGTAAAACCGAAGGACCTGGAGAAAAATCCATGCGACCACAAGGGAGAACATCCAAACTCCAAACATACAACGGGCATCAGGGTCGGGATTGAACCCACGACCTCCTGTATACCAGGAAAGGTAGTTGACATATCCTAGCCACAGTGGCGCCCAACATGATGATGCTGCACAAATGGGAAATTAAAAAAAAAACCTCTCAGTGCAGTGCTTGGAAACTGTGGTCACCACCCACAACAGAATAATGGAACGTGAATATCGACATCCTAGGCTCGATTGACAAATACGGAGGTGTGGGAGGCATTTCGTCATCACAGCAGCGATTATTCACCACCCCGCCAACTCCTGTTCTGGCTAAAAAAAACACTTCAATGCAAAATTAGTTGTTGCTGTACGGCAACATGAGCCACACGAAGACAGATCTATCGATTCACACCGAGACCCATGGACTCACATACAGACCCGTGAACTCATATACAGATCTCTAGATTCACGTCAAGACCCATAGACTAACATAGATCCATGGATCTCGCATCCAGACGCGTGGACTCAGACGCAGATCTAGATTCAGATCGAGACCCGTAGACTCACATACAGACCCATGGCCTCACACACATCTCTAGATTCACGTCAAGACCCATAGACTCCGATAAGATATCCAGATCCACAAACAGATCTATAGATTCCCCATACAGAACCATAGACACAAAGAGACCCGCCAATACTGTAACGTATATGAAGGAGGCATCATCGCAACAGCGATAACGCCACTTTCACTACTCCTGACGCAATCATCAGGCTCATCAATCTACCTCGATGTAAAATCACAGCCGTTTCTCCACATCAGCATAAGCCACCACAGAGAAGTCACCAAAAATGCCTTAACAAACTACGGGGGCAAGCGCTTAATACAGGCCAATTTGAAGGGATGGGTGGCAATCACCACGCACGGCCGCCTTTGTCTCACCAGTGCTTGATAGTTGCACACAGCACCAGGCACTCATTTAAGGCTCAGCCGACCTAGGGGAGGCCCGGCAGCGGTTCAGATTAATCGTCACTGTTGTTGGTCGCGAGCGGGAATCGAACTCGGATCGCCGGGTTCGTCGTGAAGTGCGCTAACTGCCGCGCCACCGCTCCCCAAGCACACACACCCAGGAGGATTGAGGGGCACACAAGATAGAAAGGAAGCTGGGGAGAGACGGGGGACCCCCAGGGAGAGAGGGGAGACCCAGGAGGGGACTAGAGGGGAGAGCCAGGGGGAAAGAGGGGGATTCAGGGGGATAGAGGGGGTCTCAGGGGGATAGAGGGGGACACAGATGTAAAGGAAGCTGGGGAGAGACGGGGGACCCAGGGAGAAAGGGGGGCCCATGGGGATAGAGGGAGACCCAGGGAGAGAGGGGGGCAAGCCAATGAGAAAGGGGATCCGTGAATCGAGGGGATGCAGGGGGAGAAGAGAGAGAGAGGAGGTGGGGGTGATCTAGGTGAGAGAAAGAGCGGAGGCTGCACAGCGAGGGGAGCGCGCGGGGAGAGAGGGGGACGCGGAGAGCAGGGATCGGATTACACGGGGAGGGAGAGACGCAGGGAAGAGGATGGAGGGGGGACCGAGAGATGGGATGAGAGACCGACGATGCAAGGGGGTGGGGGGTGAGGGATCGACGATGCAAGGGGATGAGGGATCGACGATGCAAGGGGATGAGAGGCGACGATGCAAGGGGGTTTAAATGGATAGGAGAGAGCGAGGGGGGTGCATGGGGATGCGATCGCATGCGGATGATGCACGCGGGGAAACGAACGGGACCCGAGGGGGGGGGGGTGGTTGCAGCGTGGTGGGGACCGCGAGTGAGAGGAGGGGACCGACGAGGTTGTAAAGTGGCACGGCAAAGGGGATAGGCAGCAAAAGGGGATGAGGCGGAGACGACACGGACGAGAGGGGATGCGTGGAGAGGAGCGAGGGCTTCCAAGGGGATACGGGGGGGGTTAATAAGGGATGCGAGAGGGGGGGGCTGACGAACGAGCTTGAAAAGGGGATGAGGAGGATGCGTTGTGGGTAAGAGTCCCCGTTACCTGAGACTCGCGGCTTTGTTCCTCCGCTGTCACCGCGCCCAGCAGCAGCAGGGGTAGCAGCAGCATCCTGGGGTACAGCCCCCTCATATCGGGGGTTCCCTCTTCGGGGGGGGGGGTAAGGGAGGGGGGGTCCCTGAATCCCCTAAGGTTCGCCTCAGAGAAAAGGGGGCTCGCCGCTTTGTCTTACGCTGAGGGGGTATCAAGGGCTGCTGCTTGCAAGGTCCCTGCTTTTGTTGTGGTGGTGGCGAGGGAGGGGGGGGGGCGGTTCCCCGATCTCGGGAAGGGATCCCTGTGGGTCGGGCTCGGGGGTCTGGGCCCCCTGGCTGCTGTCCGGGGGTCCCGGGCTCGCGGGGTCCGCTCGGCGACTGCGCCCGCGGGAAAATGGCGCAGAGCAGTGGCGCGAGGTTGAGAGAGAGAGTGGGGGGGGGGGTGTGTGGGGGTGGGAGGCAGCACCTGGCGTGACGTCACTTCCCGAGTGACGAAATGGCACCGCCCACTACCTGCGGGGGAGGGGGAATACAGGGGGGTGGGGGGGTGAATAGTGGGGGGGGGGAATAAAGTGGGGGGGGGGAATAAAGTGGGGGGGGGATAAAGTGGGGGGCGGATAAAGTGGGGGGAATAAAGTGGGGGGGGGGATAAAGTGGGGGGGGTGGGAATAAAGTGGGGGGGATAAAGTGGGGGGGGGGGGGTGGGAATAAAGTGGGGGGGATAAAGTGGGGGGGGTGGGAATAAAGTGGGGGGTATAAAGTGGGGGAGATAAAGTGGGGGGGGGATGGGGATAAAGTGGGGGGGGGATGAAGTGGGGGGGATAAAGTGGGGGGGGATAAAGTGGGGGGGGGGATAAAGTGGGGGGGGGATGGTGGGAAAATAAAGAGGGGAAATAAATGCGGGGGGGGGGGGGGAAGAGGGTATGTGGAGTGACGAGGTGTGTGAGTGCGGGGAGTGGTGGGGGCAAAGGTGGGCGAGGGGCCCGCCACGTGCTGATTGCGCTGAGTCAATCATCATCACGAGCAGGATTTCACCGACTCGCTTGCTCACAACCACGAGTCGATGTGAGTATACTGCACTGTACGTGGCTCTCTCGTGCACGTTCTAAGATCTATATATCCCTTCCCGATGCGAACGAGATCTCTGTGCGAGTCTACGTGTCAGTGTACGAGTCTCTAAGTAAGTACTGTATATGGCTTTCTATGCGAACACTGTATATACGTGCGTGTTTCTATGCGCGCCTGTATGTCTCTATGTAGAGTCTATGGGAATACAGTACTGACTATAAGTAAGTCTATGCGTTTATACGTGACTTTGTGGGTCTCTATGCGAGTTTGTGGGTCTCTATGGAAGTCTGTGGGGTGTCTATGGTAAGTCGATGTGGGTCGTCTCTGTAAGGCTATGGATCTCACTTTCACTGCCGGACGAAGGCCTCCTCCAATCCGCCACCGCCGCTACATTCCACGATCCTTTGATGCAATCGCGTAATCTCGTACCCGCGCGCGAGACGATTGCATCGCTCCGTGTGCCGCCCGTTCCGTGAGCCAAGAGAGTGAAAGGTGGAGAAAAAGGAGTGGTAGCAGCCCCGCCCCTCCACCCCATGCCCGCCCCTCCTCCACCCCCAGCCCCGCCCCTCCTCCTCCCCCAGCCCCGCCCCTCCTCCTCCCCCAGCCCCGCCCCTCCTCCTCCCCCAGCCCCTCCTCCTCCCCAAGCCCCGCCTCTTTTCCTCCCCAGCCCCGCCCCTCAACCCCACGCACCTCCCCTCTCACACACACGCCCCGCCCCCTCAATCTCCCCACCATCCCGCGATTAATCACGTGGCCGCGAACGAGTTAACGAATGAGTTAATTGATCATTAATTAAACTTTTAATATTAACGAGTTTATTTGGCAGGAACACTTTTTTTCCCCATTGTTATCCAAAGGTTTGTCCGTTACTCAAAAGCCGCTATTGTTGTAACGATTCACGTGCCTATTGCAAAAACTGGACATCTTAAGAAATAAGTAATATTTTAAAAAACTTTTTTTTAACACGCTTTAATGAAATGTACTGTAGCAATGGAAGAACTCCACGACTCCAGGAAGTGGCCCCGAAGCTTGGCCACAACGTAAGGGGACCGTGGCCAATTACAGCCAACGTCAGTTGAGCGTGGACAATTAGACCCAAGCCGAAACATAACACGTAAAAAATAATATAGTATTGTCATCAGTATGACAAAAGTATACCAAGTTTGCAGTCGATACCACATTGGGAAGTGGGTTAAAATGGAGTTACAAGATTTGAGGATACAACAACGACAACAACGACAACAACAACAGACAGTGAGTTAAATAAAAGCGTGTAAAAAAATGAAGCATCGCTTTGTAATTCTCATCAGCCTCCCGACTCTGTTCTTCTCTCCCTGCCGGCCTCACTAGGTAAGCACCGTGAAGAAGGGCCATTGCCCGAAACGTTGGCCTGGGCGCGTGGTGTTTTTTTGTGTTCGCTGTGCGTGTGGACCACGGCCAATGCAACAGCGGAGTCGTCACCAAATGATTCGTAATTGAGTGACCGCTTCATTGGAAGAGTGACGGACGAACGGAGTGAATGAGTGATTGCAAGATTGAAGTAAGGAATTACTCATAATAGAGGGGGTTTTTTGGTTACATCGCGTTAATATGAAACTAAGGTTGTCTCGTAAACAGAACGTGGCCAAATTCGTCACTAGTTTTTATATCACTAACCGGTGTATTGGAGAGCAAAGCCACAATATTTACAATCTGAGTACGACGTTTCGCCAGTAATTACAACTAGCTTCATCAGGTGACAGCCAGATTTGGCTGCTCATGTCTTTTGAACTGTTTTCACGAATTTGCGGGCGAATAAATTAATAGATTAAGTGGCTGAGTGGAATAGATTAATGATCGAGTTAATTCATTGATTGAGTGAATGAGCGAGCGAATTAGTATTTGTGTGCATGAATCAACGGTGCAATCGAATTGAGAAGTATGTATGATTGAACGACTGAGTATGGTAATGGGGCATAAGTTAACGAATCAATGTGTGGAACAATTAGCTTATTTAATTGATGTCCGAGAGAATCAGCTGGCTAATTATTCATCCTTCAGTGAATCAGTCACAGGTAACACAGTACTATATTTGATTTATTTATTTCAGGGGCGCCACGGTGGCGTGGTCTTATTCATCTTCCTCGTCTGGTATGCAGGAGGTCGTGGATTCGATCCCGATCCTGACGCCTGCTGTGTATTTGGGGCCGTCCATAAATGACGTCACGCGATTTTGGACGATTTTTGATCCTCCCCCCCTCAAATATGACGTCACAAAGCTCTGCCCCCCTCCCCCCCCCCAAAAAAAATATATAAAACATGCTTCATATCGCTTTAAAACACATTCCTGCCGAGGGAGCTGGTAGGAACGTTGGGTTGCTCGGTCAATGGCCAGGGTCAACGGCGGCACCACGTGGTGTATTCCGCAAATATGCCCGACTGTGAGGGCGGGCACAAACCGGCGTGAGTAGGTTAAACGTTGAGTTTTATAAGGGCACCACGGGGTGACCAGCCCCTCCCCACCCAGCCCCACCTCCCACCCAGCCCCACCCTCCCCACCCAGCCCCACCCCTCCCATTTTTGGATGCACGACGGACGGACACATTAATCCCCTTTGGGCTGGTGTAACCAGGAGGTTTCTACCAGTACTATTGTCATTGTAGTGCGTATTTAATTTGGCGCTGCACTCTGATGTTGTAGGAGAAAACATTAAAAAGTCAATTTCATTAAGTAGAACGTGTTGTCTATATTTATTTAAAGTTGCGCATTTTAATGTGACGTCACATTTCTCAAACCCCCCCCCCTAGGTGCGTGACGTCATTTATGGACGGCCCCTTTTTTCCTCCTCCACATTTATAAACATGTGTTTAGATTGTCGACATTATTTGGCTGATATACATGTCCACATGACAAGCCGCTTCGTGGAGCTATCATTTGTGATAACCAGGTCCTTCTGAAAAATAAGTTAAAAGCTCAGTGGGCTTTACCTGGTAAAATAAAAAATAAAAATTTAATGTTTTGTTGTTGTTGACTTACCTTTCCTAAACTCTGTATTGTTGTTGTGGCTTTCTGACCCGTCCCCAACTGGACATCTCTGCAAAAGAGCTGTATAGCTCATCGGTTTCCTCCAGTGTAGATAAACATTCTCATTATGAAACAACAACAACCACTGCCATTCGCCACTAAGTGGCGGTGACGTCACCACGGCGCCTGTGCCAGGCTAGGTGCACTTTGAGGCTACGTAAAGTGTCGAAGGCTCGCTGCTGGCAGCAGGTCACGGGACAGACCCAGATGCCATGAGTTGACTGCTGTGCCAGGCTAGGTGCAGGAGGTCACGGGACAGACCCAGGTGCCACGGATTGATTGACTGAGATGACTGGCAAATGCACCACCTGTGCCAACTCGCTGTGTTTTATCTGCCCCGGCGCTCCGCTTGTTGTTGTGAGCGTCGCTACTCTGCCCCTCCGCTGTTGCCGTAGGGCGACTGCCCATCAGCGTCCCTCACGAACCTCCTCCACAGAGGTCGATCTTGACACCGCTGGTCACCATTCATTGGCAAGTCCACTCAGCTCCACGCCCTCAATGCACAGACAATACTGTAACACACACACACATACACTGGACCGGCTTCGACATGCAACGTCTCATCAGCAGAGCCAGCCGTGACGTGGAGAGAGACAAATATGTCATGGAAGGAAGCGAACGGTATTGAGGTTCATAAATGCAGGTGTTTTGGGTTGCATCGCGCAAATGTATAAATGTGTCGTTAAACCCGCCACCACCCGACACAGCCAACTCGTAAGGGTTATCACGTCAACAGAACGTGGCCAATTCGTCACTAATACAGCACACACGATGTGTTGGAGAGCCAAGCCACAACATTTTCAATCTGAGTACGACGTTTCGTTTTATCGACACGTTTATATATTTACGCGATCTAAGGGGCCGTCCATAAATGACGTCACGCACCTGGGGGGGGGGGGTCAGACATTTGTGACGATGTGTGACGAGGGGGGGGGTTTGAGAAATGTGACGTCACCATCGAAATGCGCAACTTTAAATAAATATAGACAACACGTTCTAGTTAATTAAATAGACTTTAAAATAAATGTGTTCTCCTACAACATCAGAGTGCAGCGCCACATTAAATACGCACTACAATGACAATAGTTTAAAGCGATTTGAAGCACGTTTTTATTTTTTGTGGGGGGGGAAGGGGGGCAGAGCTTTGTGACGTCATATTTGAGGGGGGGGGGTGCTGACTTTTTGTGACGCCGTGTGACGAAGGGGGGGGGGAGTCAAAAATCGCGTGACGTCATTTATGGAGGCCCCTAACACAAAAAAGAACCCCCCCCCCCCACCCCTGTATTATGGATGATTTTGATCGCCAAAGCC